TTTTAATAAAAATTATTTAAGTTAATTTATAATATTTACCATAATAGAATTTAGCTAAACATTATTATAAAGAAAAAATGTTAAGATGCAAAGTCCTAGTATTATATTTTTAAAAAAGTTATAAGAAAAAATACCTTCATTCATTTTTTATTATAATAAGTGAAACAAGATTTTAGCAGAGGGATGTGCAATGAAATTTTTATTATTAATTGCCGATCCATGAATAAATGAGTAGGTTCAGCTCTGCTGAACATTCAAGCGTCCATTACACAAAAATCAAAATGTTCACAGAAAAAACAAGTTTTTAAATGAAAATGTGACAGTGAGCTTTGTGTCTTTTACTCATGCAATGACATCACTCAGGTCAAGACAATAGTCTATTTTATTAATTCAAAAAAATACAAATAGGATGGCCATCCCCACATTTTTTTTTCGTTTTTTCGTAGAGAAATTCCTCTCAGGCCATTTCAGCACATGGAACTCAACTTTCTATGACATCCCTGTCCATCTTCAAACAATCAAGTTTACAGATGGTGAGCACATTTTCAAACCATGAAATCATTTATCATTATACAACGTTATGCAAGATGGTCAAAAAATAAAAATACCATCGCGCCGAGTGTTTCATAGCATTATAACATGATGTTTTTCAAATTTCCACAGGTAACCTACAATAGTGACATCTTGCAGAATAATGTCCTTTGCTATTTTTAACCTCACTTCCTTTCACAAAGTACATCCAAACATTTTGAAGAAGGTCGTCCAATAATTCATGAATTTCTAATTTGATTCTAAAAATATTTTGAATTATGTAATTATGCAAAATATATTCAAATATACAAATATACAATTAATCTCATTTTTTTAATCCAAATAACTGTCACATAAGATGAAAATAATTCCTCTAATGGACCTTCTTTTACTTTATATCATTATAAATTTTCTTAGATTAATTATTATATATACATACAACTAATTATATATTTTAAAAAATGTACTATATACAGTATGTTTTTGGTTTAGGATTCGATTTTTGACCGAAACCGAGATTTTTACCAAAAGTGTTGCGTTAATAGAAATAATGCTCTCTTTAGATGTCAAACCCGTTTTTTAACCAGAAAAAACTTGGACGTTGACACGATCAGATTTATTAGCATCAGTAGATCGTTGGTGCCGGATAAATAAATAATAAACTGTCACAAGAACAATAAGAGCCGTGCCAACAATTGATCCCAGAATTATGCCTACAGCTCCAGCCATTGAAATTTGAATATCAGAAGTTGACACGGTGGAGGGTGAGGTTATGGGCGCGACTGTGGGTGAGTTTGTGGGTGCAGTGGTGGATGTAGCGGTATCGTGTTTTAATAAATCGAGTTTCCTGTTGAAAGTTGAAATGATGTAATTAAAATCTCGATTTGCATATGAGAAATGATCTCAAACTCAACATACCCTAAAATATTCCATACTTGTGCATTTGCACAATCATCTTGAGTCACGTTGGCGACAGAGTCAGCGCCCTTCATACAAAGATTAGAGAATACGTTCTATTTTTGAGGATGTGTGTTAGACAATTTATTAGTAATTGTTATTTATTATTAACATTAAATTTTCGAATTTTTACCTTTATCGTGCATTTAGTGTGGAATGGTACCCAGTCCTCCTTGGAACTTGTCTGAATATCACAGACATCACATTCGATGGAAAATTTTTGGTTATCCCTATTATTGTTGTTGTTAATGCTTTAGGGTCAAAATAAAAAATTTATATATTATTATTATTATAAATATATATAATAAACATAATTGTATATAAATATTTGATAGGAATGCGGAAGAAGGATTATATGTTAAAACTAACATAGTATTAATTTGGACACTGTCACCAACTATTTTACTTCCAGATGGAATTTCAATGACTATATTACAATGAATAGAATGACGAATTCCAAATTAATTATCAAAAGATCATTGATTGAGAGACAAATAAAACATTTAGAATTATCATAATTACCAGCATTTTGGTTAAAATCCCAAAATGGCTGGATCTCATAAATGCCAGGATTTGATTGAGTCAACACGAAAACTTCATTAAAAGCTGGTATATTACCAGAATTAAAAGTAATAATCTTTGTGCCTGGATTACTATTCAATTTTAAAAAACATCTCATTGAAATAAAGTTCAAAATATTATTAATACAGCAAATAAATCTTTCTATGTATCTTACAGAAAACCCATGACAACATTAACTCGCCAATTTGGAGAAATGGAGTGACTTATTGAAATATAATTGTCAATGATTTTTGGAAAACATGATAAAGCAAATTCTGTGAAAGTACCAAATAATAATAAGAATGATAAAACCCATCTTAATGAATGCATATTTAAAACGATATTAATCTTCCATATGATAACAAGTCTTCTTAAATACATGTTATAAGTCGCACAAAATAGTATTTTGAAACAATAGGGGTGTTCGAAAGTTGTTCTGTTTTTGTTTCCGTTTCCTGTTCCTTGTTGTACAATACTTGCATCTATCTTTGATACTGATCTACATAATAATAATAAATTTATGCGTTTTTTAAAGAATATTTTAAATTTATGCATAACTAATATAAATAATTATTAAAATGTCAACTCATTGTTTCTAAATCTATTTCAAGAAGTGACTGGTTCAGATGGATTTGATGAAAGCTTTGATGAAGATGAATTGCCCTTTAAATATTTTGTTGTTGTTTGTCATTATTAATAGAAGAAGTTGTCCTTTGAACTGGATAAATACTTTGTTGTTGTCGTTCATCATTAATAGTGGAAGAAGCTACCCTTTGAACTGGGTAAATGCTTTGCTGTTGTTGTTTGTCATTATTAGTAGAAGAAGTTAACCTTGAACTGGGTAAATACTTTGCCATTGTCGTTACCAGTAGAAGCTACTTTTTGAACTAGATGAATACTTCGTTGTTGTTGAGGTTGTTGAGATTGTTTGTTGCATAGCTATTTTTAATATTCTTGTTTTTTTTTTGTTTTCGTTTTTATTATTTTTTTGGAAATTTTTTTTTAATGTTTATTTGTTTTTAACGTTGTGTGTGTATGAAAAGCTTGCGTTCAGTTTATTAATGGAAAACATTGTCAAACTTGACCAAAGAATACAATAAGAAAATATTTTGCATAAAAAACATCGGCCGTTCTTATATAATAATTTATTATTATGTATATTAGTCTTAGTTTACAAAATATATTCAAATTTTTAAATAATTATTATTTGGTAGGTATTATATTTTAAGACCTAACCGTATTTTAAAACAAAATCATCTATTTTTGAATTAGCAATCAGACTTCGTTTATTTACAACAATAGGAAACAAGAAATTTTGCATGCACATTCTACAAACAATCTAATGTTTACTTATTATGTACATTTTGCGTAAATTGATACGCCGAAATTTTTACTGTAGTAGTTATTATTATTATGCATCATTTTGTTTTGATTGAATTCACTAAACAGGTAAACAGATGATTAAATTTATTTTTATCAAGAAACATAATAAATTTATAGATAATCCTTGTTTCAGCGAAGGAAACTAAAATTTCAATCAATTCAAAATTTACATAAGTGCTTTAAATATCTATCTGACTGGCATTATGTCAAATAATATAATTTCATATATGCGGAATTTTTAAAAGTTATTTTGAAAATTTTGTGACACCTCCAAAATACCTTTATTATTATTTATAAAAAAAATTTCTACGGATTATTAATCGAGTGTACGGAAAGATTATTCACATAGCTTGCTTGGCTATTGGGCCTTTACGTTTTAAAATTTATCTAAATTTCCATTATTATAGTAAAAATCAATAAACTGATAACTGAACCTTTTATAAAAAATTTTTTTACTAATATAAGTAAAAAAAACTCTCTGATAGGCTATGAATCGAAATATAATTGTGTAAAGATAATCCACACAGCTTGCTTGATTATCGAGCCATTACATTTTAAATTTCCGTTGTTTATAGTAAAAACCAATAAAATTGACAAAATTGAACCTTTATAAAAATTTTTTTTACCAATATAAATGAAAAACTCTCGGATAGGCTATTATTAATTGAGTGTTTGAAATAGAATTGCGGAAAGATTATTCAAACAACTTGTTTAGTTATTGAGCCTTTAGGTTTTAAAGTTTATCTAAATTTCCACTGTTTATATTAATAGTAAAATCAATAAATTTGATAAATTTGGACTTTTATAAAATTTTTTTTTACTAATATAAATAAAAAAAAACTCTCTGATCGGTTATTAACTGAACGGTTTGGAAATACAATTGCGGGAAGATTATCCCCACAGCCTTTTAGTTATTGAGCCTTTACGTTTTAAAGTTTATCTGAACTATTACTATTACTACGTTTGATGATCAACCATTGTGACCAACCCCAATAAAAGGTGCAGAGATAATGAATTAATTGTATATAGATATTTTTAAACATTGATTATGATCAAAGATAACAAATAATTTTAATGAAAATTCACATTTACTTGTTTGTGACGAATTGGATATTGATCTTTATAGCCAATTTATTATTGACATTCTGGATATTAATTATTTACCAGGCTATCAACAGAAAACGCCTGTAAATCAACAACTTCAACACAATTATCAACAACACTCTATATAATTGGAACAACCCAGAAGAAAATCAATAAATTATCTTTGATAACGAGAAAAATTTTGACAATAATAATGATGATGACAATGGTGATGCCATTATTGTTACTACAAGTGGACCAAAAAAAAAATAATAAAGAAAAGTAGCAATAAAACATCCAATAATACAAAAAAAAAGAAGAAAAAAATGATGGATATGAATTCTATTAAATTACATTATTCATATTTTTATAATATTTATTTAAAAGTATAATGAATTTTTAGCCAATAGTTTTGATGCATGTAACCTTTTATATTTTATAAAAAGTATTAACACATTTATCATTTGCCTCGTATACCAAAATTTGTGTAATTTTTTATGTCTTCAGGTAAAATCATGGCTCAATTTTAAATGATTAAGGGTTAAGGGTTAAGGATTAAGGATTAAGGATTAATTACCTTATTAAAAATCTTTTAAAAATAGATATTTGTTACGCCAGATTTTATTTTTAATGGACGGTTTTTTCGAAAAAAAAAAAAAAATCGTATAATAAAAGTGCGATCGCTCTTTTCTTTGACACAAAGTTTCTCAAAACATTTAATTATTATAAATAATATATTAAAAAATGTTGTCAGAATCTTTTAAATTCTTAACATTTGCTCTTTTAATTATTACGATTTTATCGAATGTTTTTATCAATGCATCGCCAATTCTCTCAGAAAAACGTAAAGTAGACGACGGTATTGCTTATGCAAGTATTGTTATTGATAAACAAGATGTTACTGTAATCCGCTTTCCACAAATTTCAAAAAACACCGTGCGTATAATTGGACAATTCAACTCTGGTTTTACAAGTGAAAATAAAAATGATTATGAATTCTTGATAGTTGATGGTGTTGGTAAAGTAAAAGTTGATCTTACTGATAAAATTAGATCTCAATTGCATATTAATGTTCCCGGAACCAGTCCATTCGAATTTGACGAAGAACTTACAGTTTTAGATATATTGGGTTTGTTTTTAGCTGTAATATTACAGGGCGAAGAAATCGGAAGAGGTCAAATCAAACGTTAATAATTAATACAATTAATTGTTATTGTTTATTATGTATAATGATGATTTTTAATGTATTAATATTATTAGTTCTTCTAATATTAATGCTTTCTTGAGAATTTAAATCATGTATTTTCTTTAAAACAATTTATATTAATATTTTCGAATAAACAGATACGTACATGTTTTTAATAATTGGCAGTGGCTTTGTGTTGTAATTTTTATATTAGTGATATGAAAATTTTGGCTGGGATGTAGCGGGCTTGATTTTCATTGTAAACTTAAAGGCCCAGAAATCGAAAGAGCTCAAATCAAGCTTGTATAATTAATTCAATTAAATTTTTATTACGTGTAATGTTATTTATGATGATTTTAATGTATTGATATTAATATTATTGATTCTTCTAATATTATACTTCTTGAGAATTAAATCAATCATGTATTTTCTTTATTATTTATTTTATAATTGTTTGTACAAAAAAATAAAATGCGCGCGCAAGGTTTTCTATTATTACAATTATTACCAAAATCAGTTGTCGTTGTTACGCGATTTAATAAATTTTTTTAGATCATTTGTTATTTTATTCCTATTAACGTTATAATAATAATAAATGAATTTCAAAAAAACAATTATAAAAGAAAATCTTTTCAATGTTGGTGATGATTATTGATGTAACTCGTTACTCTAGTTAAAAATACAAAAAATATATATGTTAAATAACAACATCAACTGCTTAAATTGTCTCACTAAATGAAAAAGTAAAAGTTGTCCGTCCATTAAGAATTATTGCTGGCTGAGATGATTGCTTACAATCTGTTGGATCAATGGTTATTTATCTTAATACTCAAATCAACTCTCCTTTTAAAGTGTTCTTTATAAAATTCCTAGAAAAATAGGAGGATAATATCAAAGCGTCCTAGAAGAAGAAAAAAATATCTGTAAAAACAATATCACCTCCTTCACTGCTTAATCCAAAAGAGGATTCGATGATAATCACTGTGGCGTTGAACGAGCCTATTTTGTGGCTTCCTAATATTAATTTCAGAATTCGAAATGTAACAATTTTTGCTCGCCAGTTAAACTATTCCTTTTCGTGCTAATGTTATAGTCTCACGTCAACTTGACACGTAGACATTTTAATTATAACTCATCATCCAAGAGCTATATAGACGTTTTAAAGAGTCATACATCCCATTGACTTGGACGCAAAGATTTACTGTAAGAAGTTGTGATGATGAGGCACAACCAATTGAAATTTCTTTTAATTAAAGATAACATAATTATTTTAATAGCATTGAAAATTATTATCATGAAACAAAAAAATTCTACAACTACCACAACTACTGCGACTTCAATTCGTTATTACTAAAAAAAAATTCATTGCAAATGCCATGTGAAAGTGCCTAGATAGTTAATTGGATGGCGTTCACATAATTTGATGAAGAACCTTAAAAAAATATTTTTTCTTATGAGGGGGATCAGTACCAAGACTAAGTTTTGGGAAATGGCACTTGGAAATCTAAACATCCAAAAAATTCCTTTTCCATCGTTTTAAAACCATAACAAATTTATATAAATATTGAAAATGCTTCTTTTAAATAATTTATTGATAATGGAAGTTTGAACAAGAAAAAAATTAAAATTAAAATCATAAGGAAACCAAAATTCTACTATGATGATGACGAGATTAATT